ATAAATGATTTTTGTTTTGTTTTGTATCAGTTTATTTAGTGGCTTAGTGTTTGAAATACACCCACACCAAAGGAATTAACAGTATTATGTCTAGAAAGTTATTAATTATGGATGGGAGAGTCAGAGGAAGAATAAGTATCTGAATGGGTTTTTGTTTTTCAGGGTTTTGCCATGAGTATATTTTTATAAGTGGGAAGAAAATTACAGTTAATAGTCACTTTACTCTAAAGATTCCTCTTTCATGTAAGAATTGAATATTTTCTGTGACACTAAGCTACAGAAACATTATTGAAAATTCAGAATATAGCATTTCTTTGTCCCTCATCCTACATTATTGTTGTAATTACTTTACTCAATATTAAGTATTCACTGAAGTTATTGCAGCAGTATGTATGCTTTTTAAAGTAACATTTTGTTTCAACAGGGTTTATTTGGTCAAGGTACTCACTTGTAATTATTCCAAAAAATTGGAGTCTGTTTGCTGTTAATTTCTTTGTGGGGACAGCAGGAGCCTCTCAGCTTTTTCGTATTTGGAGGTAAGCCTACCAGAGATATTTTTAAAACTGTTTCAAAAGCTACTCAGGTGGCACTAATTTTTTTTTTTTTAGAGATTCATATATAATGCTAAGACAAGAAGTACCTAAAGTAGAAATTTAACATTGCTAGAAAAGTCTAGGGGTTTACAAATAAGTTTACCAGTTAACTGGCTAAAATCAGTTAAGCAGTATGTTACCTTGTTTATAGATTTAACTGTGCATCGTTTAGATGGTTAACCATTTCACATAATCTCTTTTATTAAGACAATATATACAGTTTATGATTTATTAATTTATTATGTAAACCTTTTATCACTTACTTTCAATTGTATATAATAAATTGGAACTTAAATGTATTATGTAGTATTGGAAATGATATTTAGAGTGAGGTCTTTGCTTTGATTGGAAAGTGTTCCATGAGCACTGGAAATTTTTGAACTATTTACTCAGTAGTTAATATTGTCGGTGACTTATGATAATGACATTATGATCAAATATTTGGAATCAGGATCTTTTGAGAAACCTAGGAGGTATGGTTAGCTTCATGGAATAAGTATCCTTCTTGTGCTTATACTATTCTCCATTCCATTATAAGCTGGGAGGAATAGTAAATGAAGCCCAAGAAATGGTAGAAGGGAAGGAAAGACTGGCTCTGTGGTTACTTCTTTGGATTGAGAATTGAGGAAATGGTCCTTAGCGTTAGTGAATTTAAGTGTTTACAGGCTGTTAACCCATTAGCCTGCCTGCATCATAGAAGTATATTTTACCTTAGTGGTTAGAAGTATATTTTACTTGAGTGATATTTTACTTTAGTGATTAGTATATTTTACTTTACCTGTTGATCTTATTCTTAGGAAAGGTGCTTTGTGAGTATAAATTTAAAAATTCTAGATGACCACATTTTACTAAACTTTATACATATGTTCACATGTTTGTCACACTCTTGTAGAATTCTAGAATGAGAATATTTATTAAAATAATACTTTTGCACAGG